TAACTGACAAGACCAGAAGCAGGTCGTCTGGCTCTGATTGTGGAAGTTCGAGACTCTGGGTTGCCGAGTTCTCCAGCTTCCCAGTTGCCCAGTTGCCCTGTTGCCCTGTTGCCCTGTTTCGCCGAAAGGTCAGCATTTGTGTTTGCTTTGTAATTTGTTTATGCAAAATTGCCAGAGCAATTTCATAATGGGTCAAAAGAGAAATCAACTTTTGTGGAGAGTGCTTTAAAATGCATGACAACCACAGCCAGTAGCCTGGCCGGAAAATACGCCTGATTGCTGCCAGGTTGTTGTCGTCGTCGACTAAATGGACCGGATGTCACAAACTAAAGTTGCCAGTTGTTTTCCTTTTTTCCTTTTACCTTTTCTGAAGGTATTAGCATTTTTCTCATTTCATTAGGTAGCATGAAAAGATATATAAGCGATCTGGAAGCAATGAAGAGTAATTGAGCAAACCTATATAGATTTTGTGGTTATTAATTAATACTATTTATTACAGACAATGATTGCATTCACTTTCCTACCTAAGACCACCAGTTCTTGATCGATTAGTGCCAATCCTAATCCATTCTAATCTTAAATGAAAAGTGAAATTAAAGTTTTTTATAAAGGGTATTTCAACTTCATTTTCCAAAAGCTGTTTTCCATTCCAGTTTCCTTTTTTTGCAATCACACACACTCACTGGAATGGTTGTGACCGCCATTTGTTGTTTGGACGCCGGACCGTCGGGTTGATTTGGCTTTTAGTTTGCTCTGTTCCCCCCGGGAATTTTCGCCTTTGTCCCATAAAAAGAGTTTCCATCCGAAGCGTCGGGAGTGAGTCCCAAGTTTTGCATAGTTTAAGGCTTTTAGTTTTAGAAATTTGACTTGACAACTTTCTGCTGTCTGATGGCACAAAGTCGAGGTATCTTATGCCGCTCGGTGTTAATATGATGAGCATTCTTTCTGAGCCCCCTTTACCCGCTGAGGTGATGGCAAATTGCATTCCCGTGGGATGTTTGCACGGAATCAATACAATATTGGGATCGACTCGGAAAAGTAATTGCAAATGTTTGCAAAATTGCTATTTGATGACGGAAGTGCAATGCATTTCCCGTCTGCGCAGTCTGCATTTTCAGTCCCCAGCTATAGGTATGTGTGGGTAGGTCGTGTGTGTGTGTTTGTGTGGAAATGGAATGGGTGAGCCTCCCCTTTAACGGCCAGGTGTGCGTGAAAGTGGGGGAAATAGAGCGATGCAAGCAACAGTTGGCTTGGGATGAAAATGTTCTTACTCTGCCTGAGATTTTTAGCTCCAATTTTACATTATAAAGGTGATCTTAACAAGACCTTTTCACCTGATTAGTCTTTAGCACAAAAGGAATTTCAAAGGATTCATGTTTTGTTTTATTCAAATTACATTTCTGTTTTTATTATCTAACGTAATTACACTATATTATTCAAATGTTATTATTATTCAAATCAAATCGTAGTCGAGTCTCATTTGCTCCTCTTAAGCACGACTTATCGTCGTCAACTCTTCTCTCAAACTACTCGTTCCTTTCGTCGCTTCTCTCGTCGTTTGCTTAGATCTTCTCGTTGTATCCACCTCCTTTGCCAGATGGTGTTTCTGGTGTTTCGGCGTCTAGTGACATTGTAAGTTCTTATTAACCATATCATTTTTTAAACAATGTTACTCAAAAGAAATCTATGTTCCATGATACATCCACTTTTTATCTTAAAATCACATCATAATAATAAACAATATAAGATAAACATTTTTAATTCATTTTGTTTTTCAAGATTAAAAGGTTTTTTGAAAGAGATTAAGAACCACTGTTCGTTTAAAACTCTCCTTATACGCAGGCATATATATATTTAAGCGGATGATGTTCAAAGGCTTTTTGTTTGTTAGCCGAAGGCTCTTCCCTTTTATTAAAAGGTGTCGCCTTGCAAACAAATTGAACTGAAATTGCCGTAATTGCGTGAAATATTTTTGCATTTCTTTAATCATTTCAAGGAGCTGCAGTGAAAGCTCCCGGGGTAAACCACTTGCAACATGGACACATATTTCTGTACGCATATACACATCTGGGAAATGTGATGTGCGAATATATTAAAGCGCATATTTATTTACCTGAATGGATGACCAACGATTACAAGAATCACAGTTGGAGGGCCAACCGAACCGATGCATTTGCGTTTGCAGCTGCAAGTGCAACATTTCACTGTCACTTATGCATGTCCGCTTGTCATTTAAGCACAGCTTGACTGGGGTCTATATATATACATTTACTATATATATATATATATATATATAGGAATGTATATGTCGACGTACGGATACATGTTGTTTTATTAACGACTGGCAGAAGGCTGAAGTTCCTGCCCGTCTGCTGATGGGTCCAGTGAATTAAATTGTAAAGATTTCTCTTGCCTCCAATGGGTTTTTTTCTGCCTTTTGATTTTTTGATATACCTCAGCCTTGGCCCCATTCGATGTACCAATTTAAATTAATTCACCAGCAGATTATCGCCATTACACCGACTTAATGTACACAGCAAATTAACGATCTGCCAAGACAATGCAATAAGTTGCGAGTCACTCTGGAATCCTTCGAATGCAATAAGCGCGAATTCATGTGAGGCATTTCTTAAATTCCATCCTTGCGATTAACCCATTCATGGTCGGGTTAAATGCAATTTAATTGCATGAAAAGTTCTCCGACTTTCAAAATCTCTTCAAGTTTTTTAGGAGGGGTTGTAACATTACTTAACTTTATGCACAAACATTTTATTCATCTGCATACCTAACTATGCTAATTAAGAGTGGGGGATTCTTAATAACTGCATATTTGGTGTACTCTCAACTAAGGAGTAAGGGGTAAATTAGAGATATTTTCAATATTCAAGAAGTAAAAAATTGGTTCCCTCGGATACCAGCTGTTTCGCCGTTTTTAAGCTCCGTTCGGTCAGTCGAGGCAAATAAATCTCACGGATTCACCCTACGCCATTTAGCAGATACGTCGATTCGCCGGGAAAGCTTTCATTAAACTGACAACTCCGGGAGAAACAAAGCGCGAAACTTGGCTGGCACTGCGTAATTGACTTGCTGCTGGACCCCAGAACCTTGATCCAAGTGGGAATGGCTGATGGGAGTGCTAAAAGTTACGTCCTTGTCATAGTTTTATTTGTGTCCGCCCCTCCGAGTCGAAAGATGCCTTCAACTTGTGGCTTCTGTGCGTTTCCTTCTTGACTTTCAATACCCTTGCAAAAGTGGTTCATCCTTGTCTGTCTATTCTGTGTATATTCTTTAAATGTTTATAAATGTTTGGTTAGAAACTAATACTTGGGGATACATTTTATATTAGACATCAACTTTAAACGAAAAATAATATTTTTGGGTTTCTTTTCATATATATGATAAATGTGATATATCTTCATATTATGCCACACTCTGTTAGGGTATCCCAAATTCAAGTCCCCGAAGGAAGCCCCCATTCCCCTGTTTATTTTTTCTATTTCGTGGACTTTTTTTTCGGCGCTTACTTACGATAACTTTATGGCGCTTATCGCTACAAATGTGCTTGTATCTGGGCGCTCTTCGTATCCGAGTATCTGTATCTTTATTTCGCCAGCGAGTACATTCCGAGCGCGCCACATAAAAGTAAAGTGTAGCCAAGTTGATGCCGTCGAGGGGCTGCAGAAATGGGTCGAGTTCCGGGAAGCTGAAGGAGGAGGAGGACCAGGAGCAGGAAACCAGCTTTACTCCTAAGTAACTTATGCCATAATTTCACCCGATCCCACCGCCGAAAAACGCTGGCCACACTGCCTGGGCATCGTAATCGCAAAAAGGAGTCGTCTGGCAAATATTATTTTTTATATTTATTCGACTTTTTTCGCCCTGGCTGCTTAATGTTTATTATGAATGTTACTCGTGAGCGTATTTAGTTAATTTTATTTCACACAAGAGAAGTCAGAAAAAGGCGACCGACCGACTCCGCCAGAATGTTAGCTCGTCTTTTTCCCTTTTTTTCGGCTTTCTTCCAGGACTCGAGTCGAGTGCCGGCTGAAAATTAAGTTAACGCCATCAACGCATCGCCAGTGTCTCAGTTGGGTCTATGTCTATGGATGTGTATGAATGTGTATCTGTGGCCGGGCAAATAAGAAGCCAGTAAACATGGCAAAAAGGCAGCCGCTTATCTGCGTTAAGTAGATGAGAAAAGTTTGTGGCTCGGCGCGTTGATAAGTTGAATTACTAGCGCACATATTTCTTTCATGGGAGTCCTGGCGAGATGGGGTCGCGAACTCATTCCAAAGTCATCTGTAACCACCTCGACGGAACACCCATTCCCTGGAAACGTCTCCCAATTGGTAGATAGACACACATTACCTCCGGCGAACCGGGCATATGCATTAATTTGTTTATACTCGCTGAGCTTTGGCTTTGTTAACAAGACGAACTTCTAAGCACTGCTCAATCTGCTTTTATTCACCCTCTGGTGCACTGGAAGAGAAAGATTAAAATTAAAGATACAAACCAATTACATAAATAATTTCAAAATATCTTACAGAAAACGGGCATAGTAAATAGGTTGGGATTTTGATCTTAATAATGTTCGTATATGGTAACCCCTTTCAGTAGGTATATTACTAATATCAATGTATTTTTTCCAGTGTATACTCTCACTTTTATAGCTGAGTAGCCCAGTGCCAGAGACATTGCCTGGGGAGCTTGAATGGCAGGAGTAGCCGTGGGAGCAGCATTAAATTGGCGACAGTGTTGCCCAAATCTGCGCTGCTTAAATGCAAACTGTTCAACTTTGTTGCACTGCCAGTGCACTCACAATGACCTTCGGATGAGGTGTGTCCCCCGGAACTGAGGGCGTGGCCTCGAGGCAAACACGTTGCCAGCGACTTAATTAGATCTCAGTTTATGCCAACGCGGCACTTTATGGCAACGGTTTAAAGTGACCATTAGGTCGAACGACATTCCAAGCCCTCTGGAAAGATAGGGACTCTGTTGCCGCCTAAGTGGTGCGTTTAATGTTTTGAAAATATACTCAGAGTACAATGTTATGCTGTAACAATTGGTAGTGAAAAGGGCTAGAAACTAGGGGGTCTTGTTCTTCTGCAGGTAGAAAAAGCGATTGCCAGGACCTGGCAAGTGGACAAAGTTCCGGAACTGTTCTATATCAAAATTGTTGGCCTCGTATACAAAGGGCTGCGGTTTTTCTAGTGACGGGTGAGGCGAGACCTGCGCGCCCTCTGAGACCCTCGTTTCGTGCTGTTTTGGTTGGTCCCAGCGGGCCAAGATGGCCCAGATGTCCCGCTCATCCTCCACCTCCTTCTTATCCTCCACCACCTCAGGAATCGACTTTTCGCTGGAGCTCGAGAACTTGGGCCGCACTTCCTGGCAAGCCTTGCGCTTTGAGATATCATTCTCGATCTGGTAGACAATCGGATGACGGCGTTCTTTGACCACCGCACACAGGTTCTCACCGTGGTGCAGGTTTTCGTGAATATAGTTATTCCGTCGCACTATCATGTCCACCTCGAACTCCTGATCAAAGGTCAGATCACACTCCCGGAGGTCGGCGAAAAGGACCTTAAGATTGGGATCAAGGTGGGCGTTAGCTTAACGATAATCAAGGGCTTTTTAAAGGTAATTTCATAGTTCTTACCCGTTATTAATTTCCACACTTACCCGGGTATTCTTCTCGAGAGCTCTCAAGATATGGTTTCCTTGGTTGGTGCCGATATTCATGGCTGCCATTTCAAGACTCATTAGAGGTGTGTGACTGCGCAGTAGGTTTCCTATATCCCGAACGATAACGCTCGAAGTGAGGTCGCAGCCCGAGATGTTGAGGGCCATCACATGCGGAGTGCCCATGATGCTCGTGACGAGCGATTTTATGGCTACTTCATTAAGTGGATTGTGGGCCAGGCCCAGGTACTCCAAAACCCCTTCCTGGGTCTCGGTCAAGGCCTTGCCCAGCACAAGTGCCGAATTGGATCCCAGTCGATTGTACTCGAGCTGGATAATGCGATACATCTTTGGGCGCTTGAGCAAGTAGGCCAGCCCTTCGCTACAGTCATCGGTCATTTGGTCATAGCCGAAATCAACCTCTTCCAGGGAATCCAAAGCTTGTAGAGCTCGTGCCAAGATGCGAAACTTCTTGACATTCAAGCGCCCGTTTCGCAGCTTGAAAGTCCTAAGGTTCGGCAGACAGCGCAAGCCTCTACTTAGACGTACCATGTCACCTTCTGAAAACCTCATGTAACGGCTGTGAGGTATCAAAATAAATATACAAAATTATTTTAAAGTTGTAAGGTAATATTACAGCTGGTGGTAGACATGTCAAGCAGATATATCGACTATAAGTGCGTTTCTAACCTTTGAAAGTCTTTCCCTTCCGGAGGTCCCAGAAACTCCAACGTGAATGACACCATGTTTCCAAAATAGCGCACGAATCCTAGATCGATGTGGTGGCAGTGGCTATCCGGATAGTCGTAGCGCTGGATCCGCTCAAGCAGTAGAATCTTGTTGCGGTGGTCCGGCTTTCTGTCCTCATCATCCTCAGGCTCGGGAGCAACGGTTATATTGAACACGTCCTGAATCGGCGGTTCCTTCTTCTTTTTCTTCTTCTTGGTCGTATCAACATCATTTAAGCCAAGTTTTTTCTCTTCGCGTCTCCTCCTATTCTCCGCTCGATCCGCCCGCTTCTTGGCAATGATATCCCGCGCCTGCTGGCGGTTGTCATTACGCTGATGGCGGGCATTTCGGCGGATCGTGTCTTTATTTTCGGATTCCGCATGCCAGAAGACAATAGCGGGTTCAGCACTCGAACTGGACTGATGCTCCTCCTCGCCCTCGCCCTCGATTTCTAGTTCTGTATCCGGCTCATCACTGGAGATTTCCTCCTCATCCGAGGACTCGGAAGGTATGTCGTCGTCGATCTCGCTCTCCATATACTTCAGGAAGGCATAGTCGGGCAGTACCTGCAGCTTGCGAATGTGCATGGAGGTCACGCATTCCCAAACCTTTTCAGCCAGTTGGGCAAGCTTTTTCTGTGGTTTTACGTTCACCGGACAGGCCTCTACCTGCTCCACAAACTTGCGGCTCACTCCCTCCGACTTCCAGTCGAACTCATTCCAGCGCTTCAGGTGCAGCGTCTTGTCCAGCGTATTGCTCAGCACTACGCGTCGCCAGAAGCGTTGGTCGTCGATCATATAGCATTCCCTGCGGGAATATCAATATTTATTTATGATTCTTCAGGATATATTGTTAACTTAAATTTGTAATAAAATAGACTTAGCGGGGTTCTGGCTCGTAAGAACCTACCTCAAAGGTAACTCCACGTCCATGGCGTCGTAAAAAATCCTCATTAGTTCTGGTCTTGCCTGCAAGTAAGGTGTTATACCCCGGATTCCCAGCTTGGCCAGACTTTTGACAGCGAGGTTTGCCAAAGTATCCAAGTTTCCGTCGATGAAGGCCTCGGCGAATATCTCGCGATTTCTCTCGCTGTACAGATTCAAGGTCTGCGTTGAGGGGTTAAAGAGCTCATATGTGGCCAAGAGAAGGGGATCCGTTGGAATCCGGAACTTCTGGGCGTAGTGGGGCTGAACGGCCTCCTCTTCTTCCTCGAAGTCCATCGCGATAAGATGATATTGAGTAAGTCCTTGTATTTTTTGTATGATTCGAGTCTCGTTTTGAAGTATTAGCCCAAGCTTTTAGATGAGTCCCAAACAGCTTTAGGATATTTCAGAGATGTTTTATCAAACCCCTTCTTAATTCTAAAGAAAATACATTGCAATATCTTTTTAATTACAGCACTTGAAATGGTTTTTAAGAACCTCCCGTAAAGGAAAGATATTTTCTCTGAATAGTTAATATTCCTTTCTCGTAATTCAGCTTATTCCGCCATAAACATTGTTTTTGTAGAATGAAAAGAATACTCCATTCCATTAATCCCCTACCTTATGCGAAGTGAATGTTTACAGCGGCTAATTTGAGAAAACTCGCCTGGGATATTTCCCACTTAAGGCGCTCTTTAAGCGTTTGCTAATATTTGCTGCTAATGTCTCACAAGCACTTGCCAAGCACTCGAAGCAAATTTAAATTAAGCTAACCTAATTGAGAAGCGGAGAACAGTTTCTTTTTGTGGCCAGAACCGCTTCACCCGCCCCCCTTCTACCCGATATTCCGGTCTTTGTTTTGATGGCGGTACTGCCAGGGGCTTCACCTTGCCGGCTATTTTTCTACCTAATGAAATAAAAATAGATGTTGTTAGAGCTGCTCGCTGAGTGTGCTCGTCTTGTCCGGGTGCTTTTGTGCCCGGATCGGGGATGGCCTCAAGTCTGGAAAGAGGTTTCCATGGTACATGTATATGCAGATGCTCTTACCTCCTGCAACGAGGATGCTGCACAGTGGAAAAACATAAAAACTTACCCTTAACTAATTTAAAAATAAAGGATGAAATATAATTGTTCTTTAAAAGACATTGACTAGCAAGATGATAACGCTAAAAATACTTTTGCTAGTAACTAAAATCTATAATAACCTACCTTAATAAAATTTTCCCCGGTGCGGACCTATGAAATTCCTGGCTTTGTGAATTTGTTCAGGGCTGATTGTCTCTCCAGTGGAAGTGGAGCTCTTTGTCGCCGGTTTCCAGTACAAATTAAGTGCATGCCAGCCAGCCCACTACTCAGCACCCACCCACATCTTTCGCCCTTTTTGTAACGACAACTGCATTGCTAAGTGGAAGTTCGACCATGACTTTTGCTTTCGCTTCGTCAATCACCTTTTTATCTGGAAGGACATTACCAAGCCAGCTCAACTCGGATTCGGTCTTACCAACTTGTCCTTCCTCGCATGTCCTTCCTGTTCCTCTGAGTATGTGTGTGTGTGTGTGTGTGTGTACCAAAATTTATTACAACCTTTGGGAATTCTTTTAAGTAGTTGCTCGATTCAAAATAATTTTCCATTTATCACTGTGATAACAAAACAGTTTTCCCCTAGCCACAAACCAGCGCGAAAATGGCAAAATAACATCACTAGCAGCGAACATTATGAGTGGGTGGGTGAGGTAAAGAGTGCTCGCTGGCCTGGATGAGGAGTTGGGGATGGGAAGGCATGGGGGCGTGGCAATGGATGTGGCAATGGCAATGGCTTGGCCAAAATAAAGTGCTCTTTCGCAAATCTCGCTGCCGTTGTAGTCGTCCTGGGAGTTGAGCTGAAGACTGGCTGCGGTCGTTAGGGAGACCGCCTTGCCGGACTGGCTCTAATGATAAATGCCGGGCAGCAGGTGATTTAAAATAATTTCGGTCAGCGCGTGAAAAGTATTTGTTGTTGGCGCTGTTGTTTTCAAATTTTTGAAATTTACGACCTGCCGTTCGTCTCGCGGTAAACTTCTGCCTTTCGCCTCCAGGCCAAAAAGGCCAAAAAGTTGCCGCGATTGCTTAACAGACATGTTTGCAACACTGGCCCAAGGGATGCTATAAACCGGAAATGGTGCTCCTCAGAAAAAGAAAAGCAACAAGAAAAAATGGAACTTCCAGTCGCGACACGATGGTGTTTCCTTTCTTTTGGCTAGATGGCTTGGATGCCACAAAAGAGTTTAGCCAAAACTTTGCTTTTGCATTTTCCCCATTCCCTCCTGGTCGAGCTCTCCCTTCTATGGATTTTTGGCTTGTTGACTTTACAAAGCCGATGTCAGAGGCAGATCGTACAGTACATATAGAGCCAGGATGGACAGGTCCAGGGGCCGGAGCAGGTGAATGTGAATGTGCAGGTAGGCCACGGCCAGACGCCATGCATCTTTCATGGCTGCGGCTCGAAACTTTCATTTGTGTTCGAGCCAACTTTGATGAACTAGCCAAGCAATGCGGTGTGCACTGCAGGGAGAGCCTGGATATTTTAGGGGTTCTTCATTTTGATTTTATTAAAAGGATATTTTGAAAATATTTAGTATAAATCTCCTATATTAATATTAAGTTTAATAGAGAAAAATGGTTTCTTATTAAAAGTGTAGCTGTGATTATTTTTCAATATTTAATGCAGGCCATGAAATTGCATTTCGGTTGTTTATCGAATGATGAATATTGTATGCTGTGTGCTTTAGGTTACAAAAATAATGTTTACTTGCTGTTAAATATTTTGTTTATTATTTTATTTAATGCTTTGCATGAAAAACGCCAAATGTTTCACAAAACATTTGTTACGGAAGAAAATATATTAAATTTTAAAAAGCGTAAAAGATAATTACCTTATAAATTATTCGTGTAAGTAGAAGCTTATTTCAAACATAAATCTTTTAAAATGTTAAATATTTTTATCTCTTTTTGGTGTTAAACCTATATTAATTCACTTTATTCGTTAAAGTTACGTACTATCAGGTAATCGAAGCAAATTATCCCTTATTATTTCAGTGTACTGCCCTAGAACTTTGGAACAAATTGCAGTTGCAAGTGCGAGAATTATGCACTCGGTCCATTGAGCTGCGCGTATTGCGTCATTAAGCACACAGGATCCACAGGATGCTGAGTCCGGGATCCTGAGGAGCAAAAGGGCAGCGACTGGACAGACCAGACGCAGTCGAGTGCATTTGCATAATTTACAAAGTTTGCCGGCATATTGGTCAAGTTTCTCACATTGTTTCCAATTTTTCGGAGACTTGCCACTGCCTGTTTATTAAGTCATCAATTAAAGGGGCGGGCAAAAGTTGCATTGATTTTTAATGGCCCAACTTACTGGGAATCGAGCACGGTCCATTGTCCACTGACCTGGACCTCAAATGTTTGATGAGGCTTAGGACTGAAGCCCTCGAAAGGCTTCTTCATCAAGTGATGATATTGGTTTAGTGCTGCATTGAGTCGAGTGCTCGATAAATAGCTCTTCACTGGTAGATGAAAGCGATGCCATGTTTACGCAGCTCCTTGTCGGCCAAAACTCTTCATTTGGGCCATATTTTGCCGTGTTTAACCAGCTTTCTATGCAGATTGTTATGGGTTCACCGGTCTGTGGGGAGACCCTCGATATTCGGGCCCTTCACATAAAATCTAACGACATCGGAGCCGTTCGATACTGGCTGTCGGCAACATTTACATACTTTCGGAAGGAATTAAAATTCAGCCAAAAACAAAAGGACAAACGGAAAGAATCTATGGAGAATGGCAAAAGTTTAGCATAAACTTTTGGCGCTTTACATGCAAAACTTGCAATTGGCAGTGGCCGAGGCGAACATGTTTTCCATCCCGGGACTGCTGCTGCAACAAAGTTTCCGTAAGCCGATAGGGTTCTTTGTTTTAACGACTTAGTTTGTGGTCGGTCGAGGCTTTGGCCGCTTCCCCTGCGAACCATCGAAGTTCCACCGATTCTCGATTGTCACTCCAAATCCGATCTCTGACGAGGGCTCGCTAAAATGTCCCCCATAAGGACAATTGAAAGGTGAGACTGATTCGAAAAGAAGTAAATATTATATATTGGGGAGATAGTTGAGCACTCACTACGGAATTTGATTGAATGGTAATGGTAATCCATAATGTACAGAACACACTATGCTGTAAGAAAACAATTGGTTAACTTAAAAAACTTAAAGTTAACTCAAAGAGTTTTATCCCAAGAAAAATTGCAATTTCTGATTTTTACATGGTAACCGCAGACACTCTGGGTTCATTTCTTGTGGCCAAACTAGACCTGGTTGCAACACCCCTTTGGTCCATCTGAGTACCTGCCTCACCTGGCTAATGAGCGAACATGTTCCGCTTAAACGGGTTTTGCGGTTTCAAGGAAGTGCAATGTTGTAGTTAATTTCAAACGCCGCACCACAGCACACTTTCAGAGACAGGGGCATACATATGTATATGCAAACAGAGTCACATGTGTCGCATCTTTTTTTCATCATCAAACCTGATGCAATATAATCTCCTTAGCCGCAACGCATTTGAAATGTCATGCTCGTTGTCCCCATTGCTGTTTTGTTCGGGATTCCACTGATGAGGGTCGCAGAACAGCAGCTGACGCACAACGAGGACGCGGACGAGGACGAGGCCACAGAAGGCTCTCTCTGCACAGTTGTGTTAAGTTGAATAGCAAGGGGGCATTCAGTTCTTGCTTACCGAAGACGTTTCTATTGAAATGCTTTTCTATTTTCAGATTTTATCTAAGTAATTGATCGAGATTTTTACACCTAAGAAAGAAAACTAATATCAATAACCTTGTAACATTTCATGGCCTTTTATTTTGGAGAACTGTTGACTAATATTTTTAACCTCGCCTGTTCGTTCGATTGCATTTGTCTGTCTGCGAAAGTGTGTGTTTAAAAGTAAGTGTGCGAGCGTAGTTGGTGCTTTCAATTAAAATTTCAACGTGCACGTAACAACTTTTATTGAAATTACGATTGCAGGCAGGTGCACACACAGTCGGGGAAATGAAGGGAGAAGGGCGGAGAAAGCCGGTTGGGTGAGGGACAAAGCGAGAGGGGATACGCACACATTCACCCCACACAGCGTCCAGTGGCATTGCATACTTTATGGCATACTTTTCAGTGCAGGGCAGATGACATAGGCATGCCATACGGGCCGGCATTTGTAGAACATGGCTCTAATGAAGCCCGAATCATGTTGGCACAATCGGTCTGGTATTCAAAAGGCGAAAGCGCAACAAGCGAACGGGGAAATTGGAGTGGGATCAGCTGCAGTGAGCGAAAAAAACAAACGTGTTAAGGGACACTTTCTGGAAAGCACTCGTAGCTAAGATGTAAGATTAAACCCTTAAACCCTTTGTATAAAAATTAACTATAAGTCCTACTTTAAGTAAAAAAACATGGAATAGTATAATAAATAAATAGCCTATGGTTTTTATTTTAGAAGAATCAATTAATGTATGTCCTGAAGCCTTTAAAGTTCTCTTGCAAAAATTTAAGTGAACTTTAACCGCAATCAACCTTTTGCTGAGTGCATTTCGAGGTCGCATGAGCAGCATTTTGCACTCGGAAGCATTATCAGCGACAATTAATTATGCGGATATTTGATTAATGTGGTTGGCCAGGACACCGCATTGGGCAGTCGAAGGTCCGAGGCGGTAAGAGGACACAAGGGAAGTGCGGATGCGAGTCCACAGAAAACGAACTTCAACTGTCACAATAAAACTTGCCATTCTTCTCGCTTCCTATTCATGTATTCACATAATCCAAGATGAAAAATAGATTTTACCGAAAATTTCACTGCGCAAAATGCTGACAAGGACATTCCAAGAGGGTGGTGGGCGGTGCTGGTGGTGGTTCGGTGGTTGGCTGGCTGAGTGGTTGGCTGCTCGCCTGGGCTGTTACATCAGCTAAATGGTTAAGCGCACTAGTCGAAGTCGGAGTGGGCAAAAAAAACTGCTACAAATTTTATATAAAAAACAAGAAGGGCTGCAGACCGGCGACTGCTCTAAATGCTCCCGAAATTGCTGTTGGTTTTTGCTTTCGCGTGCCCCCCTTTCACTGAAACCCTTTCGGTCCTGCCACATTGCTCTTTCTGGGCCGAGTGACTTTGCTACATGACAATGAAAATCTGCATTGTTTTTTTTTGTTTGCCTCTTCTAAATGCTCTCCTTTCGAGAGGTATTACCTGAACATCATTAAGTTTATCTGCAAATAAATTATGGTATTCGGACGTTGATTGCCTGTTATGAAGGAATGGTATTCTGAGTGCAATTCTACATGCTTTTTTAAGACTCAACTTATATATATATTTAATTCCGATTTCTTTTTGTAGATTATAAAAACCACATAAAAACTGAACTTATAACTCTATCTTTTGGCAAAGCTGAAACTTTTAAGATCAACATTAAAAATTTACCACAAAAAAGTACTGGCGAAGTAATAAAAGTGGTAAAACTTGGCCAGAGTTAGGAGCTCAACTGAACATAAATTTACGACTTAAGATAGTTGTTGAAATTTCACTATTATTATTTTGATTACTTCATCCAGTTGATCATCTTTTAGAACCAAAGAACTTACTTATTTATATTGGTAAGTGCATTTCCAACATGACCAAGGATCCAGATTCGATTTCATGGCCTTGTTTTTGTCGGTTTTGGTACTTCGTTTCGGAAATTGTCATTTTAGTATTCTGTGTTCGGTATTCCCCAGTTCTGCTGATTTTCTGCTGTTTCTGCACTTTTCCAGCTTCGTTTTCCGTTCGGTTTTTCCTGTTTTTTGTGATGCCATCGCCCAAACACCCAAACACCCAAACACCCGAACACCCGCCGCCCATGGCCCACCAATCGGTCCATTTGGTTGACATTGCTGAATTAAACCAATCACTACTATTTTCACACTTAACTTGCAATTTGCATAAAATATTACCCAAGACCCAACAGTCAAGCAGCCGTCGCCGAGGAAAAAGATTGTGAGTGGGTCGGAGAAGTGGGTGGCAACCTTCGACTGGGGACGGGGTGGAGCTCTGGGGGCGGGACCAAGGGTCCTTGCAAATACGCAACCATTGACAGTTGCGTGTGAATTTATTTTATTCCTTTATGTATATTTTACGTCCGCACACGCTCACACTCACGCATTTGCATTGAAAATGTATTTCGTGCATTTCTTTTACGGAGCGGAAAATATGTGTTGCCTACTGTTCTGGGCGCGCCACCTTCAGACTTTTCACTTTTACCTTTTTCCATTGAAAAGGCATGGACAAACAGATGAACTCCGCTTACTCTGACATACGAACCTTTTAACTAGAGTACACAGTGAATTTGTTAAGTTAAGGTATTTATAAGTATTTATTTATTTAAAATATGATGACAACTTTAGTAAGTTTAAAATGTAAATCAGTGCTTGGGGCTATGATGTTTTTGAAGTGCCTTTTTTAATTTAATTGAATTTCGAATATAATTTAACAGCTTTTAGTTTCAGTCAACAAAGTTGCACTGTAAGCCCCATTTTTTGGCCAAATCTAGTCTATTTCGTGTGCAGTCATTAGCGCAAATGTTGCCTAAAACTGTGAGCTGAAAACTAAAAACTAGAAACTTAACTAAACTGAACTCGAAACAAAGCCTCACGCTACATTTAACAAATGGGTTAGGCGCAATTGCTGCGAGAAGGAGCTTGAATGTGTGGGAGAGGGACTATGCGTGTGTTAGTGTGCCCCGACAAAGGGTCCTTTGAGGGTCTTGTTCGCGCCCAGGACATTAAATGCCCGCTTTGCACATGTCCAAAACAGAGAATCGGCACCGTCTTTACGGGTCTGCGTCCTTCTTTTTACGGAAGTTGTTTGTAGCACGTGTGAGGGTGGGAAGGGGGTCGGCTGCCTTTCCGGGCTCTTCTGCCGTAGACAAAGGTAAAGTGCGTACGATTGTGGCAGCGACCGGGTCCGGAAATTTGCATTTGATGTCCGCTTTTGAGCAAGTGGCTTCGAACGGTTTGTGGCACTTTTTTCCGGGAATCTTTGAGAACTCTTTGGCATAAGACTTTCGGATTTTGCTACAGTGGGAGAAATGAGTGGTAATTCTAGGGTTTAAAGAAATTTTAGCTACAGAAAAATATATTATTATTACCATATGTATGAAGCTAATTAAATTCCATTCATTTTGATAAAGAAATATAATTTTAAAAAATATTTTTAATTTGTTTTTAAATATTGAATATAAAAGTCAACAATAATTATAATATAATGTAATATATAATACCAATAATAACTACAATATCATCATATCTTTTGTTCCTGTCCCTCCCTC